AGACTACAGGATGGAGTTCAAGGTGTTGACGGAACATCAACGATATGGAGGCACTGAAGCCGCCTTCGGAGTTCCCAGGCTTGTTGCCACCAAAAGGGCTGTCACTAGTGGAACTTTCATGGTATGGTGAGGAATGAGGCAGCAACGATACATCAGGAGAAACCCAGCTAGAGCCAGAGATACTTCTTTCAATCTGGAGGCCTGGGATCAGGCTGAAGAGGCAAAGTGCCTCGTCACACCACTGTCGAAACGAAAAGAGAACGAATGCATCTTTCACTCTTTTTTCTAGTACATAATTAGTCGAGTACGAGATCCAATTTCTCTTCTTGCGTGGACTCGCTAAAGTCAGGCCTTCGGCATCACCCACTTCCGAGTCCTGAGGTTGCCTGGAAGTCCCCAGGGGAAACTGGTCTCACTTGATCCAGTGAAACCCCGCGAAATAGGTCAGAAATTGGTCAGGTGCATCCTTTGCTATTCATAGCAACGGATGCATCTTGCCATTCTCTGAGGGTAGATGCACTACTGGTCACTTGATCCAGTGAAACCCCGCCAAGTAGGTCAGAAATTGGTAAGGTGCATCCTTTGCTATTCATAGTAATGGATGCATCTTGCCATTCTCTGAGGGTAGATGCACTCATACGTTTTTCGTTTCGACAGCAGTGTGGCGACGCCCAAAGACTGGCCAGAGGCAGTATATCCCCTGCTTGCCCAGGGCAACCAGTGCTGCCAAAAGATCAACTTCACGTTTGAATCCTGTTCAACCTCTTTTTTTTTTTTTTTTTTTTTTTTTTTTTGAACAAAACACTCCAATCTATTCGTGGGGAGCAACACGTGCTGGGAACCGGGCCCAGCGTCCCATATAGAAATACACAAGTATTCAAGCACCGGGGCCATTAGCCGGCTTCGGCTGAGGAAACTCAGAGAACAAACTTTTTTTTTTTTTGAATACCACGCAGGAAGGCCGGCAGGAGCCACTGGGGGGCACCAGTCCTGTAAGTCTGTAAATATGGACAAGGAACGCTGGAACTCGTTTTCTAGCAGATCGATCGGAGCCTCCCACCAAGGAAAAGCTACTGGAGGCTGCTCATATCACCTCCAATAGTGGTCCCCCAGATGGCTTTATTTCTTTCTTCTTTTTGAGAAAACAAAATTCCCAACACTATTCCTCAATTGCAAAAGGAGCGGCAAGAACTGAAGGGCATGATATCTGCCCCCAGGCCTGTGATATCCTTTGTTGTGAGTGTCAGGCCAATCTTCAAGTTGGAGAGCCCCGCTGCTCCTCGCGATCTGACACATGTCTAAGCTCGTTTAGTCGGGTGCAGTTGCCTGTATGCATCTGTCAGTTGTACATCTCCCACGGGCCGCTTTAGGATGTCCATATCTGGTGCCCACGCACCCGCCGATCTTTGTGGGGAGCGTCTATATATATGAGGATCTAGGTGATGTCAAACCACCAGTACCTTTCTCAGATTTCGATGTCGAGCCTAAAACTGTCGTCCGCACCAAAAACAAAAACGAAGTGGCGAGGGCCTCATTTCGGCTGGCGCCGCCACCCATTTCCGTCCGATACCCGGACAGTCGAAAGTTGCCCGTGTTAACCAGCGCATATTTGTTTTTCAGCGGAGAAAGGTACTCGTGGTTTAAAGTCTCCCATCATTATAAGGGGGAAATTTTGGGGCGATGCATGACATAAAGCATGCAGAAATTGCACCCTCTCCAGTGGGTCATTGGGCCCATACACACTCACTATGCTTGCTTCTTCTGCTACTGTGGCTTTTAAACCACCAGTACTTCCAAGTTACTTTTCCCTGGGGTTCCAAACACCCTGCGCGCCAAAGAAAGACGAACCGGCGCGGGCCTCGTTTAGGCTGGCACCAGCCATTTTGCTCCATCTGCCGACCCCCGAAAGTTACAGCAGCATACAAGGCGTGTGGGAGAAAAATGGCTGGCAAACGTACTGGTGGTTCAAGTAAACCCACCTCCCTTCCCAACGATTGTACTCATAGCTAGTGGGGGTTAAGCCGCAGCTGTTGCAGGTTCAAGTGTTCCGGAGCATGGGACAGTCACACCGCACCAATCAATTCATTGTTTCTGTTGGGGCCCCCAGGTAGGGCAGGCGGGGAAGGAGAGGGTTGGTTCTTCGGATAGGCGTGCTGTTGTTCAATCTTTCTGGTATGCTACGATTTTTATTTTCCATTTTGTCGCATGTGTGAGGATTGAGCCCTCAAGAAGGGGCCCTTCCATGATGTACATGTTCTGGGCTAAGGCCCCAGCAAGCCTAGTGCCCGCCCTAAGTGAAGGCGGGCCAGCAAATCAACAAGAGCCCTTTGTGCAAACATGTCCCGAAGTGGGGTTCATACAGTTGCAGCACGCCAGTTGGTTGGAGTGCACCGAGTCTCGAATCTCTGCAAATGTGGAGAACCCAGGGCCTATGAGTTAGTTAGGCCCTGGGCACTTGAACGTGAGGCCGACAATGCATGCTGGGTATAGAGGCCGACAATGCATGCTGGGTATAGAGGCCGAAAATGCCAAAAGGAAATCGGCCCACTATCTGAATATGGCCGCAGGCCTTGATGAAAGAGGCGCGACTGCATTGCCCCGGGCCTCAACTGTATCGGGCTGGGTTCAGCCACTGGGGCCCGGTCGCAGGCTGAAGGGAGGCCGCCCACACGCAGCACTGGCATATAGGCAAGCAGGGCGAGTGGGAAGGCATTCTTGGCCAATGCAGGCATTGCGGGCACGCTGCGCAAATGCGAGGTGCTGCGCTGGGATGAGGCAGGCTAGCGCTAGGCGGTAGGGTGCTGCCTGTGTACTGGGCGCTTGGCGGCCATAGCCGGGCTGCATAAGGCGCAGGGGAGGTGAGGGTGAAGGTGGTTCTTCGGAGGTGAAGGGCGCTGTGTGGGTAACAAGGGAGAATGTGGGTGAAGAGGACACTTACCTGGTGGAGGTGGAGGTCGGCATTGGTGTTGACATCATCACTCGCTGGTAGTCAAGTTGTCTGGTTGCTTTCATTGCTGTAGTTGTAGGCTTAGTCTGTAGAGTAGATAGGGCGCCTGGCGCCATTCACAAGAGAGAGCTACATTGGGTTATGCTGTTGGTGTTGCCCTGTTGGGCTTGGACATTGACTCACGATTCTTCTGTATCATTCTCAAATGGATGGTTTCTCGGTTCCATTGTGCTATCTGCTCTGGCTTTGACTACTTGGACTTCAGTGTGATTTTGCATTCTGGATTTCTATGCTTTGTCCATATTCATGTTCGTTGCAATTTGGTATCGGAGCTGGTTTGATTCGCCACTTACCTCTGGCACGCTGGCGTTATACAGACTTGGTGCGTTGACGATGCTTCTTCGCAGTTGGTACTTGTGACGTCAAGCCATATATAGGTGCACGCCCTGGAGAGAGGGGTGCGCCGGAAGGCTAAGACGGCAGTGTATGCCGTGGTGACATGCGGAATGTATGATTGGTGATGAGAGCAYGCTGATGTGGCATTCGGCTGAGGTGGCACTGCATTGCGTTGTGGGTGGTACCGAGGCCAAGACCGGTCATCAAATGCACACTCAGCTCAATTGGTGAGAAATCTGTGGTTGGGGGCAGCTAT